CTGAACACAGTATTCCAGGTGCAGCCTCACCAGTGCCAAGTACAGGGAAACAGTTGCTTCCCTGCTCATGCTGGCCACACCGTTTCTGATACAGGCCAGGATGCTGTTGGCCACCTTGGCCACCTGGGCACACTGTTGGCTCATATTCAGCCGACTGTCAACCAGCACCCACAGCTCCTTTTCTGCTGGGCAACTTTCCAGCCACTCCTCCCCAAGCCTGTAGCGCTGCATGGGGTCGCTGTGACCGAAGTGCAGGACCCAGCACTTGGCCTTGTTGAACCTCATACAATTGGCCTCAGCCCATTGATCCAGCCTGTCCAGATCTCTCTGTAGACACTTCCTACCCTCAAGCAGATCCACCCTCCCACCCAACCTGGTGTCATCTGCAAACTTGCTGAGGGTGCACTCAATCCCCTCATCCAGATCATTGATAAAGGTATTAAACAGAACTGGCCCCAATACTGAGCCCTGGGGAACACCACTTGTGATTGTCTGCCAATTGGATTTAATTCCATTCACCACAACTCTTTGGGTCTGGCCATCCAGTCAGTTTTTTACCCAGTGAAGAGTATGCCAATGCAAGCCATGAGCAGCCAGTGTCTCCAGGAGAGTGCTGTGGGAAACGGTGTTTGTCAAAGGCTTTACTAAAGTCTGGGTAAACTTTGGTAATTCCACAATTAATTTTGACATTTTGGAAAGTAAGAGGACTGCATGTCTTATTCTAATAACCTTTCTAAAAGCTGAAGGTTTGGATAAGTATTTTTAGATGGATGCTGTCAAGAAGTCTTTTTAAGTATCTGCTAGAATATGAAGATCTATAAAATCACTTGGATTTTATTTCTCATTTACAGAACTATGCTTTGTACCAGCACTCTTTCTGCGCTTAATACATCTTTGAACAAGTTTCTTCTTAGGCTTCTAGTTTTCGCCCTCTTTGCTGTCAAGACTCTCACATTTTTAACAGAAGGCCACGGTGTCTGGTCAATATTTCATTTTCACAGATGTCATTTAAACAAAAAATTAATGCATGCATTGGAACTAAATTTATTATTAAATCCATAATTTTGTCATGAAATGACAATATTTCTTTATAATGCATCTTTTTATGTAGTCTTGCAGCACTTGCAGTGGTGCAAAATAATGCTTTTATTTTAATGAAAATAGGACTTAAGTAATAAAACCTCCAGACTTCTGAGAGGTGCAGTCTATTTTATCTCAACTGCAAGAAAAGACTTTATTATGGAGGGTTGGTTACTTCACTAGAGAAAATGAAGTTAGAGGGAGTCAATTAGTGGCAGGCTTTCATCTGTTAGTATTGCTTGTGGAAAAGCCAATACAGAACTATTTCCAAAAAAAGAAAACTTTAAATCTTTTGGGGTTTAGATTTTTGACATTGGAAACAGCACAGATCCTTCTGTTGGAAACACTCCATGCTCTTACTGTAAGACTTGGAATAGGAGCCAGGCACCTGCAGTGTGTGGTGAGGTTAAACAAATCAGATGTTGGTGCCTGTTCTCCTACCTGCCAAGTGAGCTCAGTGGCTGTTGTGTTTAACTCTATTACAAGCGTGTGAATGTAGTACAGCTTTAGCTGAGTACTTGTGTTGCCCTCCTTAGAGGAAGTTGGCTGGCTTTCCAGGAATGTACCTGGCTTGTCTCTAAGGTTCCGCTTTATTTGCTCTGTGTATTTTGTGTACGCAGCAATCTCCTCCTTACTTCTGTGGGGTTTTTGAACACTTGGTTAACTTTGAGTGAGGGTTGGGGCTTTTGGGTTTTTTTACAATAAATCATACACTTTGCATTCAGAGGGTTTTTTTTTTAACTTTGTGTCAGAACTGTCATGTAGCTAACATAATGGGAAGCGTTTGTTCAAATTTGGTGTCTAGAGTGAGCTTGTGTTGATTTCAACTAACTTGGCTGCCAATAAAAAGTAAGAATTTACTCTGAAGAAGAGTTGGAAAATCACCATTTCCTATTCTTGGTGCATGTGTTTTCATCTCATATGGGTAAGTGAGGGGACTGTGAAATGAAATGGTCTTCTAAATAGAAGTTATGGTTGTACAGAGCAATGCCCTCATCCTAAAGCTACAGCCCCTACTGGCTCTTGTCAGCCAGCTAAGCATACACTGCTGATATTTTAATCCAGCCTCTGCTGGAGCAGATGAGCTGCAGCTCAACTTTGGTTTTGGTGACTGTTGGTGGAGGGGACCCTTGAAGAGCAGAGATGAATAAAGGGGGCTTTGCCTGGAGCAATATTATGTAGAAGCAGTGTTGGGTTTGTTGTTGTTGGTCTTTCCCCCCCACCCCCCCAAATATCTAAAAGCCTCATAACTGCTTCAAAACACTATTTCACCATTAGAATTATCATCAAAACCTCTGGTGAAATAAATTTTATTTAAAATAAATATCTGCATATGCAAACTGCTTCTTGAAGAGGGGCTAAGTTTGCAGTTGCTCTACATGTCTATAAACCTGAGGCCAATGCTAGTAAATATTCCATACAGCAGCATGGCAAAACTCCTGAAGTGAATTACTGCCCATGTAAACTTGGATAAGGTGCTATTACTTCCCAGAATAAGGGGTGACTACATTTATTACTGTGCTGCCTGAGCTGGGAATTCACCTCGTCCCCTTTCTCAAGCTGAGATTTTTTTAGATTGCAAAATACCTACATTGCAGAATGTAGCTTACATTCGTAGATAGTTAAAGGGCAAACAGTTTGAGGTTGCTTTTCATCTTAAATATATCAGAATGTACAAACCTAGAAAAGGGTCTCCTAGGTGCCCCTATATGTGTTATGTTTACCCAGTGTGCCCATGCAGGCTCTGTTTTAGTGCTGGGCCAGAAAGGAATATTCCATTCAAACCCTTCTACATGCTCAGAGGCAGCTTGCCTATTTGTGTTGCAAAAGCAACGATTTTGGCTGCAGGTTGTTTCTGTGGGCCAAGAGCTGTGACCTGGAAAGCAGGCAAAGAGGCTATGGACAAGCAATGCTCAGGCTGTTATTTGCTGAAGCACAAAGCTGGTGCTTTATCTCAGTTACTGTAGGAAGCTCTAGTATTGTTGTCACTGCTGCTGCCTTCCTTGTTGGAGACAAGTCAGGAGGATGCAATCCAAGATCTTATAAAAATCCCCTCCAGCGCCTGCCTTCTTGCAATTATCCTCATGTTTGTGCTCTTTGCAGAAAATTTTGGTTTGGAGAGAATGTGAAACACATCAGGCCACATCAGAAAACTCAGAAATATCCTCTGTGGTCCAAAATGTCTAAGCTTTTGTAGGGAAAAGTTCCTTAAGTCAGTTCTGAAGGCAATGCTCTGTTCTAGATCCCTGGCCAAAACGGGATATGCGTTAGTGAGCCTGTACCCTAACTTACAGGTATAATTTTCCAGTTTGTTTTTGTTTTTTTTTTTTTAAATCAAAACCAAAAAGAGACAGACAGGGCTACTTGCGGCCAGCAGAGAAGGCACTTGAGCTGATGTACTGTAAGGGCATAAGTCATTGCTAGAATGTGAACAGAGTTGCAGCAAACCACAGCCTTCCAGTCTCTGCTGTAACTGAGCTGTTACACTACTAAGTATCAGGTTCCCGGGTGGTAGGGGACAAAATTATGTGCCTGGCTGCCTGCTTTTTGCAAAGTTTCCTTGTCCATTGGGTTGGGGTTTAGATTCTCATCTCAAATTGTTCCATTCAGAGATACAGTATCCTAGAGAATATCTGTCCTGCCACTCCAGGCTTGTCTGTGGAAAGTGTTTCTTCTTCCCCTACGCTAAATTATTGTCTGAAGTCTAGTGATGCCCAAGGAAGTTAGCTGCTGGCACTTTATTAGCTGTTTGTTATTGCACCTCTTTTACCTCGTGCCTTTGCCCTTTGGCTCCAGCAGCTAATTGTTTAAGAGTTGTGACTGGGGCTACTACACATACCTCTTCTGCAGAGAATTTAAAGAAGTTCTCTTAGACTTGTTAAATCACGTATGAGACCACACAATGGGGAGACATTTCTGCACATTCATTCTACAGTGCAACTGCACTCAAACGCAGAGCTTTATGCAGTGGAAACAGTTGTGTTAGTTGTTAACCAAGGGAAGCAAGCAGGCTCCTAAGCAGAGAGAGCACAGTGGATAGTCAAACTGTGAAGCATGCCAATAGGGCCTGACAGTTAAAATATCGATCTTAAAATCTAGCAGAGTTGTGGCTGTATGGATCTGAACTTCCCCTTACATAAAATGTTTACTGCTGCATCAAAACTTCCTTAGTTTAGCCTACCTGAGCCTCACTGAGCCACTGTTGCAGCAGGATGGCTAGAAGCCCCTTGAGAAGGATCCATGAGAGTAAGCAAAGGCAGGACGAACCATTCAGGCCTTCTTTATGGTGGGGGGGGTGTGTGTGCGCGCTATCTTGAAGCATTATCAGCAGGGACATAGGTGTTTGCAGTTTGTTTTGCAGTGGAGTTAAAAGCAACATTTCACGTTTTCCATTCTATCAACTCTGGGATCCATTTTTTCATCCCAGCATGCATGGGAATTTTGCTTAGTGGTTCCTGCAGCCATTGTGGTAATGCAGCTGACTGCTGCTCATGCACAAACACAGACCTGACCTTGTGCTTCAACATACAGTGCAGATGATCAGGCACCTTCTCCTCTGAGCTCTGTCCAGCAGAAGAGCCGAACAAAAGTGTCACCCTTAAGTGAACTGTAACACTTCAACGACACAGAACACATCAGTCTTCAAGGCAGTTTCTCATCCTGCTTGTTATGAGGCGCAAATAGTCCTGTGGACAGCTGAAGAAGCACCACATACTTTCTAAAAAATTGTGTAACAGGAGCTATGAACTTACAGTAATGATAAGGACAGGCTTACTGTAATGATTTCAGTTTTGGAAGTGGGGTGGTTGTGGGGAATTCCCAGCCAAGGGTATCCTTTCCAATTTCCTCTTTTGAGGGGTTTGAATTGCTTATAAATATCCTCTCTGAGTCTGAGAGCACACAAGACAAGCTCCCCTCCTTTGGCTTTGCCTTTCTGCAGTGGTGAGTGATATTCTGAATTTGTGAGCTATATGCTGTGGTTTTAGCTGGTATTCAGGAACAGGACTAATGCTTTAGCATGGGGGGGCTTTTCTGTATTCGTGACAGGAGCAGCAGGGAATGCTAAAATGCAAGTTTCTCATGTCCATCTGCCTCTGTTGCGGAGTCCTTAGCTGAGCTTGTGGTCACACAGAGGGCATCTCTCCTTGTGTGGGGAGAAGCAGGTTCCTGGGCTAGCCATCAGTGCTGGGGCAGCTGTCCAGGCACAGCTATGGGTGTGATGGATGCTATGGCAACAGTCTCTCAAAGGTGCTCCAGAACTGCTCATCTCTCTAACTGTCTGTCTCACAGCTCTGTGTCAGGCTTGGGCCAGGAACCATGAGGCTCTGTGTCTGCTTCATGTTGCTCTCCTTTATTCTGTGCACAAGTGCTGAGACGCCACTACTAGTCCGAGGCGGACAATTTGTCCGGGATGCAGCGGGAGGTAAGCTGCTGTTACTGCAGGTCTTTCTCTCAGGAGCCCCCTCCTTGAGCACAGGTTACTGGCAGTCAAGGGACGCAGTCCTCGGAGGTGGGAGGTCCGCAGCTCCACCGCTGGTTTCTGCTGCTGGAAGACAGCCTTGATCAGCCCCCGCAGGCCCTTTCCGTGGGCATGCCCCTGTGCAAAGGCTGATGTGGAGAAGTGCCTCTCTGTGTTACTGGGCCTTTCAGCTCCTGGCTGAAATGGACTTAACTGATAACTCTTTAAAGTCAACGTCATCTCTGTTTCTCTGCTTTCTTCAGGGGCATGGGATATGTTCAGAGCATACCAGGACATGCGCGAGGCAAATTATAAAGGTGCTGACAAATATTTCCATGCTCGTGGGAATTATGATGCTGCCCAAAGAGGACCTGGCGGTGCTTGGGCAGCCAAAGTGATCAGGTAATGGAGCGTATTTGGCTTGTTAACAGTGAGTTACTAGGGATCCAGGCATTCCAGTCAGAGTGAAGTCCTTTTTGACTTGTACTCAGCTTTTGACCTAGAAAGACAGTGGAGGGGAGGGGAAGCAGTTAATGTCCGAACAGGCTGTCTCTATAGGAATGGTGCCTCTCCTCCCACATGAGCTTGGGCCTTTCATCTTGTCCTCCCCAGAAGGCAGATTGCTCACCTCTGCATTTCTGGTGAGAAGGAACTTCCTCCTTGCTGGTTCATTTCCTGACACAGCACTTACGGATTCCACTATGGTTCTAGGACAAGGACTGAATATGCGCTTGCATCTCGCTTTGAGAAGTCCTGTGGAAAAGCTAGCTTTACATGAGCGAGGAAATCGACGCAAAGTGGAGTTAAATCCCGGTTGGTTCAGGTGGCCTTTTTTCTTCCTCTTAGCGATGCCCGGGAAAAATGGCAAAGCGACGTGAGTGGCAGAGGCGCAGAAGACACCCGAGCCGACCAAGAGGCGAATGAGTGGGGCAGAAGCGGCCGGGATCCCAACCGCTACAGACCTGCGGGCCTCCCCAGCAAATACTAGCGCTGCCCCCCGGGAGGCCACCTCTGCTCCCCTGTTACACCTCCTCTGTGCAGCCCAATAAAGAAATTCTCCCGTAGACCGCTGCCTGCTGGCTCGCCTCCCTTCCTTCTGGGTGGGGACCTCAACTCCCAGCGCCGGCCGCGTCCCCGCGGGCCGGTGTGAGGGCGTCACGGAGCCCACCGGCGCTGCCGAGGGGCGAGGGGTCTGCCTGGGCCTCCGAGGGGCGAGGGGTCTGCCTCGGCCTCCTCGGGGGCCGCTTTCCGCGGGGGAGGAGGCGGCGGCGGCGGCCAGGGCCGCGTCCCGCCGTCCCGGGCCGGG